GGGGTGGGGGCCGCGAACCACGGTCGACTACGTGGGAGTCCAGCGACATAGCCATTACGCTAACTGCTGGTTCCCAGTAACCTCTTTTTTTTGAAATTTTTAATTATATACTTAAGGATGGTAGAAAACAATAGGAATTTTTTATACCTTTAGAGTTTTTAGAACACAAATATTTTATATTCTGGGAGTTTTTTCTATGCCAACAAAGCCTAAGATGATGTGGTTGTTAAATGCTGGCAGGGGATAATCATTTGGGAAGCCACTGTAATAAAGGAGCCCATTTCTATTATCATACCTAATGTTAGGGGAGTTTGTCTAATGGCTTATCTAATTTCTTTCAGTAATTTATAAGAAATGGCCTCCCATTCAGGATCACCATCATTATTAATTGATATTGGAAGGCAAAAGGTAGGATCACCGGCTTGTAAAGCCTGTCGTGCCACTCCCTTGACTCCAATGGCACTTAGGCACTTTTTGAATTTAGAAAAATTTTTTAGGTTTATTTAAGGAGAGTCTAGCTGGCCAGTCATGATGATATTGGGCAGTGGCTGTTTCTAGATCTTCTAAATCAGCAGAGTCTAGGTGATCATCAGACTTCGATTCCTCTCCAGAATCTCCCTCGAGTGAAACAGTCATGGGGGGTGGGCACAAGGGCTTAGCCTCCAGTGCCGTGGCCAAGCCTTTGGGGCAAAGAGCCTTGGGAACTGACAGAACAGCCTCACTAGGTTGGTGTTTTTCCTGAGTGGAGGTAGAGTAAGAAGGAGGACGTGCAGGCTCACTGGTAAAAAACATAGCATGTTTAATAATAACCCAAAGTGAGAAAGCAAAAATAGACATGGTAGCTCCTCCATTCCTACGATACCAGTCGATCATGTTTAAACCTACTCATTCCCAGGTCTCAAAATCTAGAGTTCCTTCGTCAGGGAACCATGGACTAATTTCCCTTACGAAGTCTAGAAAAGTGGACAATTGATTTTTGCTGGCTCAGATGCCTTTTTGTTTTAGCGTTTGTTCAAAATGTCCACATATAGGGAATCAGCAGTTAGTGTAATGGCTATGTCGTTGGACTCCCACGTAGTCGACCGTGGTTCATGTCCTGGACCCAGTGGCTTAAAATTCACGCCGGGCGCATGTGCGTGCGTGCCCAAGATCCCGAGAGGAGAATGGAGGAGAAGGGATTGCAGCGTGACCATCTCCCCTGGGGGGTGATGTCTTGCTTTCTATCTCGCTGTCTATCTCTGTTTGTCTGGCAAGTGCATGTGCCCTATAGTGAAAACCTCTCCAAAAAAAAAAAGTCCACATATAAAGCCCTATACTTAGATGCTGCGTTTCCCATGGCTGCAAGCACCTAGGCACTAATTCTTCTGTATAGTTTTGATTCTTAGGTGTAGCAATACCCCTGACTGCTTGCACCTAGGTACTAAATTATCTCTACAGTTTTGATTCTTAGGTACAGCACTACCCCTGGTCGCTTGTACCTAGGCACTTAACTTCTCAAAAAGTTCTGAGGTTACACTTAGTGCTAGTGCTATCCCTGATTGCTAACACCCTAAGTGATTCTTCTCCTGTACTCTAAACCCAGCCTCTCTCTACCAGGGGTCCTCCGCACCCTATGCAGGAGTTTTATTGTTCTCTTTTAAAAATTAAAAAATACTTACCAACGCCTACTCACCTCCTAGTTCAAGCAATCCACGTTGGGTGCTGATCCATGTTGGGTGCCAATCTGCTGGGGTCCAGCCTCGGTGGGGGTGGGTTAACTCCCCAGAGGTGGTGCAGGAAAGAAAGACTGGGGCCTCGGTGCCATTTTTGTGCATGTCCTCAGTCAGACACTCCTAGAGATGGCTCTCTGAAGAGTGACAACTGCTAGGAATTATCGTGCCTTTTTATTGAAAATGTGATAGAAGCAAGTAAATGGGTGAGGGGCTAAGTATCAGTTCATAAAGTTTTAACAATAGGGATCATAGATTCCATTCAGGGTTGGATTAAGGGCGGGCCTATTACAGTTAAGCAATGTTTGTTTTATTTAGGCAGGTCTTCAGAAACTTCATGGAATGCCATTTCGGGAAATAGCCTCCAGCAAGCAGAGTTAATTATCAGCTGAATGCTCGGCGGCAGCCATCTTGTGATTGCTAAGAAGAAAAAATCTCTTTACCTCTATCTTTGAATTAGAAAATAGCCCTAAACATCCATTTTCTGTTTTTATTGTCATTCTTAGCCATTAATTTAATCTTGCTGAGCTATACAAATTGAAGATTATAGAAAAGATGATAAAATTAAATGACTATATGTCTTTATAATCGACAGTTAACTCTAAAGTGCAACAACTTAAACTAGACTTAGAATAGAATTGCATTATTAAGTCCTATGTAAATTTATATTTTTCTTTCTCTTTTAGGTAAGGATATAGCATTTCAAGCATTGCATCTAATAAATGGATATAAACTGCATGGAAAAATACTGGTGATAGAGTTTGGAAAGAACAAAAAGCAACAGTCAGATCTACAGACTACTTCTCTCATATCATGTGCTAATGATAGCACTACCGAAATCAGTGGTAGCTAGAATATATACAGGTTATAAGTCCTGGATGGTCTTTCTCACATTGAAAACTTGAATTTAGGATTTCTGTGTAAGTATCAATTTGTTTGGAGTTGAAAAGGAGAAACTTAACTGAAGGAGGGAAAAAAAGAAATTAGGATAATTCCTTTCAGCTTTTGGAGAGAATTGGTAGGAAGCATTATCTATAATCAAAGACAATGTAGGACAGACAATATACTGAGTATGAGGGATAATCATACAGAATATTATTTTTTCAGGATAAATTACAGTGTATTATTCCTGAAAACTTTTTTTAAAAATCAATTTGGTAATTTTTCTGGGGTCTTCAATATTTTTTCCTGGAGATAGCATTCTTTCCAAGATTGTATCCTATATAGAAATTAAAAACTTATTAAATGTTGAAATAGTTATATACTAGAGCCTATTTGGCTCTAGTTTTATCCACCTAGTAAATAAAAAAGCAAATGCTATTAAGTCAGAACTATCAGTAGTAACAGTAAGTAGTTTCATAAGTCAGCCAACATATTTATTGAATGCTTCTCCACTAAGTTATCAGTCTTCTAAAAGTTATATATATTTTTTAATAAAATATTCTAGGTCAAAATATTGGTGTTCTCATGGCCATTTAAGCTAGCTATCATTGAATAATCACTGAATTAAAAGCAATAAAAGTTGAATAAATGTCTAATGTATGTTAAATATTAGATATGTGAATTTTAGAAGAGAAACTAGCAAGTAATGCTTACCAGAAGTGGGTAGAAGAGAGACAACCAGTCCCACACCCCCAACTTATTTTTATTTTTATGGTTGCCAGACAATAGAAATACAATATGCCATAGAGAAAGTGGTACAAACTTTGGAGACACACCTGTGTTTAAATTTTGCACCTACACTCATACCACTCAGTTTTCTTAGCCATAAAGTAAGGATAATACTACTACTTACCTCATTGGATTATGAAGTTTAATTAAGATGACATTATACAGGCTGAAGAACAGAAAGAAAAAAATGAATAAAATCAAACAGTGTATGTTATCTGTGAGACACCATTAAGCACTCTAGGACACATATAATGGGAGTGCCAGAAAAAGAGAAGAGAAAGAAAGAAACATAAAAATATTCTAAGAAATAATGGATACAAACACCCCAAATTTGTTGAGAAATACTAACCTACATATCTAAGAAACTCAACAAATTCTAACTAGAATAAACAGAAAGAAACCCACAAATAGATGTATTGCCAACCCAAAGATAAAGGGAAAATCTTGACAGCAACGCAAGAAAAATGAACAATCACTTAACAGGGAATACCAAAAAGATTAATGACTTACTTCTCATCCGAAACTGGTGGCAGCGGGTTAGCATTCAAAGTCTCAGAAAAAAACCCTGCCAACCAAGAATTCTATATATAATAAAACTATTTTTCAAAAATGAAGGTGAAATTAAAAATTGCCACATAATCAAAAACTGAGAGAATATATTGCTGGCAGACCTGACTTACAGTAAATCCTGAATAAAGTTCTTCAGGCTGAAAGCAAGTGTTCTTAAGGAGTAATTTGAATATATACACATACATAAATAGGACAGGCAAAGGTAATTATGTAATTTTAAAAGTAAATGCATTTTTCCTTCTCAAAACTAATTTTAAAAATAAGTTCATAAAGCAGTATGTATATTTACATTGTTTGACTTATATAAAGATATATTTGCCAATAACAGAACAAAGGAAGTGTGTGGAAGCAAATCAGTATTGTACTAAAGAAATATCTCCAGATGGTACCTCCACAGGGACAAATGACAAAAACAAGAATAGGAAATAAAGAGGTTAATATTAGAAAAACTATACTTACTTATGTTCTCTCGAATTCTTTGTAAATAGTATCGAGTAATAAATATAATAATGTATAACAATAATACTGCAAAAGGAGGGATCTATTTATATAGGAATTGGGAATAAGGTGTGAATATATCATTAGAATTAAGTTAGTATATATCTGAAATCAATCCAACTTATTTAAGATGTATATGGTAAGCCCCAGAACAAGAAATAGGAAATAACTTTTTTAAATAACAAAAATATTAAAGAAATTTAAACATCAAGATAGAAAATAGTATAAAGGTAAAAGATGAAATGGAGAAACAAGCAAAAAAGATTGAGACATATCAAAGGACAGTAAAATGGCAGTCATAAATCTTCCCATGGCAGTCATAAATCTTCCCATATTGATAATATCAATAAATGTGACTAGATTAAAAAATACAATCAAAAGGCAGAGATCATCAGACTAGGAAAAAAAATCAAGATTTAACTACATTGTTTATTGGATATGTACTTTAGAAATTAAAAACAAAATGATAAAAACAGCACCCATAATAAAGCTGGAGTGTCTATACTAATATTAGACAAAATAGACTTTACAACCTAAAAATATTATCAGAGATGGTGACATTTTACAATAATGAAAGGATCAATCCACCAGGAAGATGTAGCAGTTATAAACATAAGTACCTAATAACAGAGCCTTAAAATGCATGAAGGAAAAACTGAAATAAATGAAAAGTAAATCCACAAAAAGAGTTGAAGTGTTCTATACCCTGTTTTCAACAATAGAACAGCTAGACCAAAGGTAAACAAAAAACTGAAAGACTTGAACAATACTATAAGCCAAATAGACCTAAAAAATGTGTATAGAATATTCTATCCAACAATATCAGGGTACATATTCTTCTCAAGTGTATGTGAAACATCTCTAGGATAGACCATAAGCTAAGTATAAAACAAGCTGTAATAAATATAAGTGGATGAAAATCATTCAGAATATGTTCTTTGATCACATGGAATCAAACTAGAAATCAATAACAGAACATTGGAAAACTCATAAGTATTTCAAAATTAGACAAACTTTTAAATGACCAGTAGGTCAAAGAAGAAATCACTAGGGAAATCAGAAAATCATTTGAGATAAACTGAAGATAAAATATACCAAAACTTATGGAATGCAGCTAAAGCAATGCTTAAAGTGATATTTATAGATATAAATGCCTATACTTAAAAAAAAAAGTTCACATAAAAGTAATCTCACTTTACACTTAAGTACCTATAAAAAGAAGAGCAAACTAAACCTAGAACAAACAGAAGGAAGGAAATGAAGATTAGATAAGAAATAAATGAAATAGAGGATAGAAAAACAGAGAAAAAACAAGCCAAAAGTTCATTCTATAAAAAGATTAACAAAACTAACCAACCTTTTTCTACATTGACCAGGAAAAAAGGAGACTCAAATCCTCAAATGGAGCTGGCCTTGGCCTAGTGGTTAAGGGAGCTGGATCCCACATGGTGAACCATACAGTTCGAGTCCCAGCCCTGGCAGCCCTTGAAAATCCTCCAGGCATGTGTACATGTGCCCAAAGTCTAGACAGAATTGAGAAATGGAGGATAAGGGAGTGGATTGGGGGTTAAATTCTCCCTCTCTCACTGTCTATCTGGTAAACTCATGCACCCTCTAGCAAAAAAAATAAAAAATAAAAATAAAACAAGACAAAGAAATTTAGGAAACTTTACTACCAATCTTGTAGAAATAAAAAAAGTATTATGAAGGGATACTCTGAACAATCATATGCCATTAAAGTAAATAACCTAGATGGAATGGACAAACTACTAGAAAGACATAAACTACTGAAACTACTTAAAATATGTAAAATATTTAGATAGACTTACAACAAGTAAATAGATTAAATAAGCAATAACAATATCTACAAAGAAAAGCCAGGCCCAAATGGCCTCTTAGATGAACTCTGTCACACCTTTAAAGAAAAAATTAATATAAATTCTTCACTTCTGGCACATACTAAAACATACAAGAACCATGAGAATACGCCCACTGACAGACAGCTACAAATGACTACATATTATTTATATCAAATGCTCAGAATTGATAAGTATATAGATACAGAAAGTGTTATTAGTGGTTGCTTAGGGATGGAGTTGGGGAAGGAGTTGAAAGGACTGGGGAGGGGTGGATAATAACTGAACCATATAGGATTTCTGTAATGATTGACAAAAATGTTCTAAAATTGAACAGAAAACAAGAATTGTGTACTTTAAATGGGCAGATTTTGTGGTATATAATTCTCTCTCACTAATACTGTCACAGAAATAGTAAGGTGGATATAATGCCAGTATCAGTCAGTAGGAAAACAAATAACTTATGGTACATCTCTTTAGTGTAAATACTATGCGACCTTTAAAATAGTGGAGTATATCTATGAATATATTCTGACTTGTGCTTAAGTCTAAGATTTCATATTAAGGTAAAGCACAAAATGGAAAAATAAGTATAATATGAATATAATTTTTAAGCTTTCACATATGTATGATATGTGTATATATAGGTATTTCTGAATAAATTTAGGGAAAAGCTGGGAAATATACATACTAAATATAAACCTTTTGGAGGTGAGATTGAATAGGCTAAAAAAGGGGACTTTCACTTTGTAAAATTTTTTAAATGGTGTGATTTGGGATTTTATTTTTTTCTGTATCTTTTAAATTACAAAAAAAAAATTGAATACTCTGCCAATGACTCAGCTTCTGGAATATTTGTCAGGCCTACTATGGAGATATCATCTGACTGTACTCAGGTCAAACTCCTATTTCTTTGATATATTTACTTAGGAATAACTCTCCAACTTTAAATATAGTTTAAAGGACAAAAAGTAAATTATCCTAGTATAGCCTCTTGTATATGTTATCCAGGGGCATACTTTTTTTTTTTTTTTTTTTTTTTTTTTTTTGCCATAGGGCCATGTGTGTTTGCTAGAAAGACAGACAGAGACGGAGATGCAGAAAGCAAGAAATCACCCCTCAGGAGATGGCCACGCTGCAATCCCTTCTCCTCCGTTCTCTTCTCAGGATCTTGGGCACACATGCACACGTGCCCAGTATGATTTTAAGCCACTAGGTCCAGGACTCAAACTGCAGTCAACTATGTGGGAGTCCAGCGACATAACCATTATGCCATCTACCGGTCCCATCCAAGGGCA